AAACTAGGTACAAAGAACTACAAAATTTTATATACATAAATCTAGTAAAATTCATTTTAAGCAAAACTTCGTTGTATTAAAAAAAAAATTCGTTATAGAGAAAATTCGTTATATTAAAATTCGTTGTAGAAAGAGTTAACTGTATTATAATAGAAAAGAAGAAAATTACAAAAAAAAAAAAAAAATATTTTACTTTATAAGCTAATATAACTTTTTTTTTTAATAAAATATGTTCAGATTTATTATTAATGAAAAAAAAACTTTTTATATTATAATTTATTTTACTTTCTTTTTAATTCAGATAATTTATAAAGTTATTTAATAATATAAATAATGAATATAAATATTTAAAATTAAATTTATTCTAAAAAAATATTATTTTTTAATTTTAATTAATAAGGTAAATTTAAAAGAAAATACTATTGAAAATCAATAAATATTAAAAATCATAAATATATTTATTATTTAATTAATAAAATTATTTTTAAAATCTTTAAGATCAAATTATTTATTAAAGATTTATTATTTCATTAACATTAAAACCTTTTAAATTTATTTTTTAATCTTAAAGATTATATAGCTTTTTTTATAGAAATTTTTTATTATTATTAGTATTAATAGTATTTTAATTATATAATACGGTTAAGACTTTTTCTTTGCATATTAAATAAGCATTAGAAACACGTTATACGTTATATTACTAAATCAGTATTCCGCGGAATTAGAGGTAAGATCATGTGTCAATTATAAAATCTGGCAAAATAAATTCCACCAAATTTGGTACATCAAACGCGATAAATACGGTCTTTATGCACGTGACTAAAACACGAACATTAATGATTGACAGCCATAGTAGCAGTAAACCGTGGTCACATAATACACTAGTGTTTAGTTGCGTTGTTGATTCAACACGGCTTTTTTTTCCAATTTCTTTCTTATAACGTTTTTTTTTTTTTTGGTCCTTTAACCATTACTAATTTCTTGCTTGAGCTAAACCTCTAATAAAAAATTTGGATCTATAAGTGAACAATAAAAATGTCTCAATCTTATCAAATTCCAATGGAAAAAAAAAATGATATTAAAACCCACTTAACACAAAGGTCGGATTCTGTTTCTGTTACTATGGTGTCCGCTACACCGCCAAATTCCACGACTAAACCTATTCAACAACTTCCTACCTCCACCTTAAGTCACCTTGAAAATATTTTCGAGGCTGTTAAAAAACAGGTATGAATTAACTTCTTGCAGAAAATATATAAAAGGGTAATAAGAGTTCTATTTAGTGGTAAAGTTATACCTGCACGTTTGAAAGAATAAATAACTGTTTTATTTTATTTTTATTACTCATTGAACAAACCGATTACTTATGCATAAGATAAAAAAAATTTTTTTTTTATCTATAAAAACCTAAACGCGGTTATAAGCGTTTACTATTCACAAAAATTAAATTTTTGTACTATAACAAGACGATAAATATGAATATATAGTGAGTTTTTTCAACATATTATTTTATATTTTTCCATTTTTTTTTTTTTATTACAGGTTTCTATTTGGGGAGAACGTGCTAGATGGAAAATTGATTTGGTTTTGTTACCAGCTGAAGATGATGAGGATATAGAAAATTCAAGTCAAGTTGTTGGAGGTATTTCATTTACCATATAATCTAAAACTTTTAAATTACAACAAATTTTTAACGATTAATTAAATATTCCAAGGATTATTAAACCAACAACAGTCTGGTTTACATACCCCTACAAGCGACAGTGCAGGTGATACTTCGACACCTGCTCATATAACAAATGGCCAGTTACAATCAACGACACAACAATCAACAATACAATTACCAATGCAGTCACCGCTATCACAAGTTCAATTTTATGCACAGGTAGTATATTCTTTACCAAATTTATCATGTTAATTAATATTAATGTTTCAAAAGATACTTGAGAAATATAACTTTTGATAATTTTTTGGCTTAAGTCTCAAAACGTAAAGGTTGAAAGTTCCATGCGTTATATTTTAGATGATGATACTATAGAAAAATTGGACATTGAGACGGCAAAACATATGGTAAGTTCTTGTTTGTTGAGGAAAGGTTTATGTAATTACGATGAACTTTATACTTAGTGGAATTATTTACCTAGATTGCAATCGTTTTTATCTCTTTTAAAGCTAAAAGATGCAATACTTCATATTCGTGCCTATGAATCAACATTAAATCGTGTATCTTGTGAAGCAGAATCAAAAGTTCGTATCAAATATTTGTTATTTTATTAATTGAAGATTTATAAATTAATCTATTAACAAAATTATTTTATTTAGATAAAAGAGGCACAGGCAAGAGCCAAAAAAGCAAATGAACATATTGAGAGCATGGCAAAATTTCATTCGATAAGAGTAAGCGATATTTAAGATTTTTTTTTTCAACTTCAATAAATAGTTACCAAATTATATTGTTCTACCAGGAAAAAGAAAAGACCAGTAAGCATTCTGTAGAACTTAAGATATTACAAGAAGATGTTAAAATTCTAAGTCGAAAATACAAAGAAACTAATGTGCAACTAGCTGATATTAAAGAAAAATATGCTAGCTTACAAGAACAAGAAGCTCGTAGAGAGGTTAGTAATTTTTCTTTAAACAATCCAATAGCTTTGCATTTTATAAATATAATATAAATATATGTATATTCGGTTCAATGCTCTACTCTTTGCAACATCAATGTTAATATATATATATATATATATAGCTAGATAGAAGAAACATGAAAAGAAAAGTAATTATTATTAATATTTTTTTTTGCATAAATAATGTTTGGTTATGTTCTTAAATTGAAAATTAATGCTTATTGTCCAAAATGCAAAATAGGCACAACCTTCTCTGTTACAATACTCGACATCTTCAAATACTACAGAGGTAGTTGGAAAGATTGTTGAATATGTTCCTCAGCAACAGACGAATGGATATTTAACTTACAATTTCCCACATGTACAAAAAATGCCTTCACAGCATTCACAACAATATATACAAGTAAGTAATCAAATCTAAATGACTTCAATTAAGCTACTATATCTTGAATTTTAATCGTTTCTTTTACATATTCACGATAGAACCAACCTCAGCAATTAAAC